ATCGCTAGTACAATATTGACTAACCTTGTCTCTGTTTTCTTCTCCTCTTCCCAATCAGTTTGACAGAGGTTACTCTTACAATATCCGTCATAGTTTTGGAAAGGAGGGCAAGAGGACAGATTATACACCTTTCAGTTGCCTGAAGATTATTCTAACCAACCCACCAGGCCAAGGGGATTATCATGGTAAGTGCTTCCACTGGACATGCTGGTGAAGTACAGAGACCCAAGAGGGTCTGTAGGAAACACTGAAACGATGTAATGGCTTTTTGCATTACTCACAGAACCTAGTTCGGAGCTTCTGTCAGTCATCAGTGTCAAGCTAGAGCTCCATTACTCTCAGCGATTTGTCTTTTTACTGAACTAGGTCAGGCAAGAGAAATTCATTCAGCTGCACTTCAGTTTGTGCTGGACGAGGCTTTTCCGTTCTTTTTTGTGTTCTGCAAATATCTTAGAAGACTGATACAAGTTTTTTCAGTTTGTGCTGGACGAGGCTTTTCCGTTCTCAGTTTCCTCCTTCACCTGCTGTTCTGTCTTTTTTGTGTTCCGCAAATATCTTAGAAGACCGATACAAGTTTTACAATGCTTTTTGGAATTGGAAAATTCTAATTTTGGAATATAGATTTATTAATTTCACAAGTATGTTTTATTCTCAATACTGCCATTTGTGTATCCAGAAAAGATTGAGTGAATAGTTCAACAAGTTATGGCATCAAATATATCTATCAATTTGCATGAGTTACTAGTTTGAAATATTTCTGTAGACATCTGACTTTGACATTTTCCCTAAAACAGGTGGGAATCAGGGAGTACTAGCATAGTCTGAAAACTCCTCATTTGTCTGATATGTCAGTGACTGATTTCAGTTCATCTTAGTAAACTTTTCAGATTACCAAAGTTTACTGCTATGTATGTATCAAAACATTTGTTTTAGAATATTAAATGAAACATAACTTTTTTAAAAAATCATACACTTGGACTGTTAATAAATCAAATAATCACAGACATTTTTAGAAAGATAGTCCATGTGTCCAGGGACCAGCAGTTAGCATAATGGCTATGTCGCTGGACTCCCATGTAGTCGACCACGGTTTGAGTCCCGGACCCAGTGGCTTAAAACTCACGCCAGGTGTGTGTGCATGCGTGCCCAAGATCCTGAGAGGAGACTGGAGGAGAAGGGATTGTGGCGTGGCCACGCCCCGGAGGGTGATTTCTCACTTTCTGTCTCTCTGTCTGTCTGGCAAGTGTACGTGCCCTATAGCAAAAACCTCTCAAAAAAAAAAAAAGAAAGAAAGAAAGATAGTCCATGTGTCCAGACATTCAAAAATGCTTATACATAGAGGAAGAAATGGCTTGTGTAGGTAATATACAGTGAGTGGTTCTTATCACTTGTATAAGAGACCTTTAAGGTACTTCTTAGAAATAGAGATGATGGGGCAGCAGGTGGCATGTTGGATGAGGCTCGGGCTCCCACATGACAGACCACGGTTCGAGTCCTGGATTTGGCAGCTTGCTTTCTCACTTTGCCTCTCTTTCTTCCTGTGTCTCTCTCTGGTCAGATTGAAAAATAATAATAAATAAAACTTTAATAAAAAGAAATAGAGATGATCAGGCCTTATTGCAGACATATAAAATCAGACTTTATTTACAAGTTCTCTGAGTAATTCTTATGTTTTCTAAAGTTTGAAATTCATAGAACCAGATACCTGTATTCAGGAAGCTTGTAGCTTTTCTTTGCATGGCAGCCATACCAGGCAGTTAACTTACAGTCCAGTTTGTGGCCAAGTAAACCTCTCAGAGATTCTTCTTGTGAATTTCTAGATCCTAGCATTCATCACTTGTTAATTTTTATTAGCTAAAGTTCAGGGCTTTATATTCTTACCTTCTTAAGTTATTAAATCTTGTTTATTCCAATAAGTCTATCAGTCAAGGAATAGCTATAGTTTGCAAGCATTCAGCGAATGCAAATTATTTGAGGGATACGTTTATCTATTCCTTTTTTATAAAAAACAAAAACTTAATCTTTGTTTTTTAACACTGTATTAGGTTCACAGCAAAACTGAGTGAAAAGCGCAGAGTTCCCATATAATTTCTTACTCCCATACGTGCATACCTTCCCCCAGTAAGGACCTCCCATCCTGGAGTGGTACCTTTGCTACAGTTCATAAACCTCCATTGACACATCACCGTCACCCAAGGCACATACTTTACATAAGGATTCACTCCTGATCGTGTACATTCTGTAGGTTTGGAAATACTTCTGATGACTTGTGTCCACCTTTGTAGTATACTGTAGAATAGTTTCTGGCCCTAAAAATCCTCTTTCCTCTGCCTATTCATCCCTTCCTCCTCCTAATTCCTAGTGATCTTTTAATTGCCTCTGTAATTTTGCCTTTTACAGAATGTTACATAGTTAAAATCACATACGATATAGCCTTTTCAGATAAGTTGGTGTCACTTTGTAATATGCATTTGTTTCCTGTATGTCTTTTTGTGGTTGATAGCTTATATTTTTTTTAGCACTGAATAATATTCTATTGTCTAAATGTACCACAGATTATTTACCCATTTACCCACTGGAAGGACATCTTGGTTGCTTCCAAGTTTTCCTAGTTAAGAATTAAGTGGGATCAGCAGTTGATGTAATGGCTATGTCACTGGACTCCCATATAGTCAACTGCGGTTTGAGTCCCAGACCTGGTGGCTTAAACTCATGCCAGGCACGTGTGCATGCATGCCCAAGATCCTGAGAGGAGAGTGGAAGAGAAGGGATTGCAGTGTGGCCGTCCCCCCTGGGGTGTGATTTCTTGCTTTCTATCTCTCTTTCTGGTGAGTGGATGTACCCTATAGCAAAAACCTCTCCAAGAAGCTTTTTTTTTTAATTTAAAAAAATTTAAATATTTAAGAATTAAGCTTCTATAGACATTATATTTAGGTTTTTGTGTATATATAATCTATTTGGGTTAATACCAAGAAATATAATTTCTGGTTGATATATTGTAGTGAGATTGTGTTTACTTTTATGAGAAATGGCCAACTGTCTTCCAAAGTGGCTATATCATTTTGTATTTCTTTCAGCAATGAACAAGAGTTCCTGTTTCTCCAAATCCTTGTCAACATTTGATGCTGTCAGTGTTTTGAATTTCGCTCATTCTAATAGGCATCTAAGGGTATTACACTATTGATTTAATTTATAATTCCCTAATGACAGATGTGGAAATCTTGTTACAAACTTACTTGCCATCTTTGGTGAGGTGTACAGGTGTTCATATTTTTTCTTTTTCTTTTTTTCCTCCTTTTTAAAGTTTATTATGAAAGAGAGAGGCACCTCCCACCCTCAACAGGGTTCCTATGCCATAGTCCACCCCTCAGTCTCAGCTAACTTGGATTATGGGCATGTGCATGCATACTACCTGGTGTATCTAGGGAGGGCTCCAGGACACAAACTGAGGACCTTCCCTTGTGGTTTCAGTTGAATTACTGCTGTACTACCTTCTGGCCCTTGTTCAGGTCTTTACCTTTTTTGGGGGAGGGGTAATTTTTGCTTTAGGGTGCAGTAGAGAGACAGAGAGAGAGGGAAAGTGAGAAATCACGCCAGAGGGAGATGGCCATGCCACAGTCCTTTCTCCTCCTAAAATCCCCTCAGGATTTTGGGCATGCATGTATTCACACATGCCTAGAGTGCTTTTCAAGCCACTGAGTCTGGAACTTGAATCACACAATTGGCCATGTGGGATCCAGTATCTTTTTTTTTTTTTTGAGAGGTTTTCGCCATAGGGCGCGTGCGCTCGCCAGACAGACAGAGAGAGACATAGAGATAGAAAGCGAAAAATCACCCCCCCCAGAGGGGATGGCCACGCCACAATCCCTTCTCCTCCATTCTCCTCTTGGGATCTTGGGCACGCATGCACACGCACCCGGCGTGAGTTTTAAACCACCGGGTCCGGGACGCGAATCGTGGTCGACTACGTGGGCGTCCAGCGTCATGCTAACTGCTAGGGATCCAGTATCTTAACGACCATGCCACCTGCTGGTCCCTTTTCTGCGCATTTTAAAATCAGATTGTTTTCTTATTGTTGAATTTTAAGAGTTTTTTTGTTTATTTTGAATAGTGACTTTATCAGATATCTGTTTTGCAGTGTTTTCTCCCACTCTATATTTCTGTCCCTTTTCCTCTTTTTCTGGTATTTCAATTATGCATTTGTTACCCCGTTTCTAGTTGTCTCACTGTTCTTAGATATTCGAGCCCATTGTTTTTTAGTTTCAGAGATGTCTATTGTCAATCTTCATAATCAGAATTTCCCTCAGCCATATCTAGTCTACTCATAAACTCATCAAAGTTACTCTTCATTTCTGTTACAGTATTTGTGTTCTCTAGCATTTCTTTTTGATGCTTTCCTAGAGTTTCTGTCTCTTCTGCTTACATGTTGTCTGCTTTTGTCATTAGAGCCCTTAGCTTATTAATCATAGTTCATTTGAAATTTCTGGTTTCCTTATTCCCGTGTCCTTGTTATATCTCTAACACTGGTTCTGGTATTTGTCCAGTGTCGTCAAACTGTGAACTTCACTAGTGCTTTACATTTTTTTTCCCCATTATCTCTCAGGTGAGACAGGGTAACTAGAGGGTGCCAATTGGGCATTTCCTTTTTCCCAAGTAAGTTAGGCTCTCATAAAACCCCAGCAGGGCTCTGGTAAAATAGTTTTCCTGCGGGCAGATCTTGCCAGGAACAGAATGTTTTGGTGTAGCAGTTCCAACCTTCCTGGCACCAGGGACTGGCCTTGCAGAAACAATGCCTCCATTGACCATAGGGTTGATCCCAGATGACCCAATGCACTGTGGTCACCAGGCACCCCATTTCCACCATGGCCACATTGCAATATACAATGAAACAAGCACACAACAATAGGCTTCATGCTCCCATGAGAATCCAGTACTGCCCCTGATCGGACAGGAGGCAGAGCCCAGGTGGCAATGTCAGTGATGGGGAGCAGCTGCAAACACACACGAAGCCTCACTTGCTCACCTGCCTACCACCTACTCCCTGCTCTACAGCCCAGTGGTCCCTGGGGTTGGAGACCCCAGTTCTAGTCTATTTCAAAATTGTTCCTTTTCCCTTCTCCCTGACAGAAGAATGGAGCTATTTCTGATAATTCACTGTGATGACCTGATAGGGGTAAAACTCACAAATGTGTGGGAACCTCCTTAAAATTGGGACTCCAAGCAGTTGTTAATTCTCAGAATTTCCAGAAATCCCCACACTGAGACTCCACAATCTGTTAGTTACAATTTAGTTTTTCTACCATGGCACTCTACTTGGAAGTTTCTTCTCTACTAAATCGTGTTTCTCTTTATCTGTCTGTCTAGTTTTGCCCTGAAACCTCACTTCACTATTGGATCTAAGAACTGATTTTTCAGTTTGTTCTGCTTTTTTTGTGTTTAGGATGGAATGGCACCTTCTAAGCTCTTTACATACTCGACTGAGACTAGAAGTCTATCTGTCCTTTTTCATTTTGTGTTATTTGGCAGAACTATTCAGTCCCCTTGGTTGACATTTCATTAGCCAATACTTCATAACTTGCCTAACCAGTTATGAATTCTGGCCTCTGTTTATCCATCTCTTTCACAAATAAACGTTGGGAAGCTTTGTCCAACATTAGCTGTAATTACTGAATATGTCTGTGTGTATGCAGTCACCTTGTATTACATGTTAGTTGAACCCTTTCTAATTTGAAGGTCATTCTCTTAGATATGTGACAAAAATAAAAGTAAGTGTTCACAAGTTCTGTTTCTTTATATTATCTGTCAACACTAGTTTCTTACTGGGGGTGGATCTCAGAGTCAAAACCCTGCTGTGGGCGTTGTCACTCTGTCTCTTGCTCATGGAAGAAATAAAAGAAAGCAACACTAGCTTCTCTAAGTTCATTTCTTCAGTTTTCTTCTTGTAGTAAGCATAGCTTCTGAAGACACTTTCAAGGTCAGTTTATCATTTTTGTAATATTCAGGTTTTTTTTTTTCCTTGACTTTATCCTTTCTGACCTTTCAGTCTAGCCATTTTTTCACGTGTAATTTGGGTATTTCAGTTTAATTCATTTCCTTCCTTGTGCCCTTTAATAATTTTGGGCTTAACCAGGAAGTCCCTGGTTAAGCATCTTCCTTTTTTTCTTATTGGGATCCTCTGTAATTTTATTAACAAGTTTTTAAGGAATAATAATAATTGCTATCACACATTCTGCACTTACTATATAGTGGGAGCGTAGAAGAGCTTTATATATCATTCTTTTAGGACATTTATGAGGTGAATACTGTTATTTCCTTCAGTTGACAGGAAGTGAGGCTGAGTCAACAAGAAAATTAAAGTTTTGTCTGAGGCTACCAAACTAGAAGTGGTAAACTGAGATTCGAATTCAGGCTGCATAGCTCCTGACCATTAACCAAATACTGGGTCATCAGAAAAGTCGTGATGTAATTTTGCATAGAAAAACATAGAAAATACATCATGACTTTTCTGATGGCCTAATGTTATACAGTTTCTCAGGGTGTTTCCCTGAACTATATGTGATAGTTTTAATCTGAATAGTAAGTATATACTATAAATGTTATAAACTTCCTGGTTTGTAGGGGTCCATAGTATAATAATGGATGTTTTTATTCATAATTAAAATATTTAGTAAATATATTTGTTTGGCATCCCAGCTCTTTTCCATTATTTTATTATCAACCCGTTTTTTTGTTGATTTAATTAAAAGTGGGTTGTCAGGAAAGTCATGATATATTTTTCTATGTTTTTCCATGTAAAAAATGTGTCATGTCCTTTTTTTTTTTTCCTTTGAGAGGTTTTTGCTATAGGGCGCGTGCGCTCGCCAGACAGACAGAGTCAGACAGAGAGACAGAAAGCAAGAAATCACCCCCCAGGGGTATAGCCACGCCGCAATTCCTTCTCCTCCATAATCCTCTCGGGATCTTGGGCACACACGCACATGCGCCCAGTGTGAGTTTAAGCCCCCAGGTCTGGGACTTGAACTGCGGTTGACTAAATGGGAGTCCAGCGACATAGCCATTATGCTAACTGCTGGTCCCATGTCATGTCTTTTTTGACAACCCAATATATGAGTGAAAAAAGATCTGATTTTCTGTATTAAATTTTCAAATAAGTATTTTGGCTCACTTTTGCAATTTCTTATTGAAATATCTAAAAGTTTCTAGATTTTGGCTGCTTGTACATTTCTGTTCTTCTTTGTTCATATACACGCAAATATTTCTAGTTGTCCATCTTTATTTTTACTTATGAAATGATATGTAGATGACATTATAAATTGTTTTTCTATGAAAGTTTTCCATTTGTACATCTCATTCCCCTCATTATTACTCTATAGGAAATAGGCATAGAATTTACATTTGAAAACAATATACAACTTTTTTTATTTTAAGGCAGACCCTACTCCTGAAAACACAAGTTTTCCTGATGAATGGATATTTTAGCCTGAGAATGCTGCACTGTTTTTTGTAAGTCCTGAACCTGTAGTGCCCTGATACCCATACAGCTAAGTCCTCATTTAGATAAAGGGAGGGAAACAATTGCACCCATGGGCAATTAACTTTTTAAAAATTAATAAGCCATTAGACAATTGGGGGGTGCTTAGACAGTCTCTTGAGTGTGGTATTGTACTGAGTCCTAGGTAAATAACCTTGTGTGCCGGTGCTTGTTGTTGCCAGGGTGCCCATTCCGTCACAGTGATCCAGAGCTGCTGAAGCAGAAGTTGCAGTCATACAAGATCTCTGCCGGAGGGATAAACCAGGTAGGTCAGATTCTGCTCTATACCTTTAGTAATGAGGCATCAGACAGATCCTCTCAGTTTTATTTAATGTCCTTGCAGTGATGCTGTGTACTACCTGTCAGGCCTCACACCAGATATCCTCTTCCAGATGAATTTAGCCAAAGCCTTGACTTTTCTGGTTTAAACTCCTTGGATATTTTAGTTATTCTGTCTGCTAGACTGCATTTTTATTTTTCTTGGCCATAAAGGGAGCTGGAAACCTTTTTCTCCTCTCAGTTTTGTTTACTATCTCAATGGAAGATCACATTTAAAAAAAATAAATTTTTAGAGTAATGTATTCATGCTTATTAATGAAGCTGGAAATTAATGACAGCACATTTTATTTGGGGAAATTATTTTTTTAGCAGATGATAATGTAGTGTGTCCTGGCTGGATATTGTGATAGGTTCCAGTTGTTGCTGTGTTGAATCCTACCATTCTGATGGCACCTCATTAGCTCTAACAGTTTTTCAGAATACTTTGTCTTGTGAACAATTTAAATATAAAGAAAATGCTCAGATTGTAAAGGCATGTATTTAAGAGTAATCTTTTAGTAAGTCTGCCTTTAAAAAAAAATACTGTCACAATGAAGACTGTTAGCTGTGGTGTGCTTCTGAGTTGACTTGAATTTTGAAGCAGTTGAAGAGGAGCTTCTGTTCCTTAGCTTAGGAACAATACATATATATAGATAGATAGATAGAGAGAGAGAGGGAGAGAGAGAGAGAAGAGGATAATATGTAAATCATTGTGAATATTTAAACAATTAGTTTTCTTTGAAAAAAATTATTGCTGTAGAAAACTCGATTGCATGTTCTGTGTCCTAAATTCAAACTGAGTTTAGTTATTATAATTTAAATCTTATGTAACTTTACAGTACTCACTTTGGCCAAACCGGTGCTCAAGGTCCTGTGGGGGTGGAGATGTGAAGATAAGAATCAAATGTAAATCCTGCTCACATAGAACCAGAGTCTGGAGGAAAGCATAAACAGGTGTTATAAGAGAGGTACACTGAGGGGGAGACTGTAACCAGCTGGAGAGGCCAATGAACATATTCTAGAAGACTTGCCCTTTGAATTAGGCCTTGAGGGTAGAATAGAAATCAGGAAGAGAGACTACATGATAAAAGAAAATTTACAGCATTATTGTGGTTTCAAGTTTAGGATTATGGTGGCACCAGTACATCAGCATTAATAGACAATTTAAAGGAAGTAGTTATTTTGGGAGATTCGCTTTGCTTTTAGAGTTGGGGGATTTTAATGACAGACAGAATGTGAATTTACAGTGTATGAGAGAAATTAGGATTAGAAATCTGATGTTCTTTCTGGTTAGAATAGTAGAGCTATGGAATTGGAAAGAACATTAGAAAGCACTTCTCTTTTATGGAGTCCTAGGACATGACATACCATGGGCATACCATGCATAACTCATAAGCCTCAATAGTAGAACCAGAAATTGAATCCAGGCCTTCTGACTCCGAGATATTTTTCCTCAACCTTACTTTATTTTAGAGCTCATTATCATGAGTTTGCTGTGGGAGAGAGGAGGTAGGGAGTCAAAAGCCATTTCTCAAAATGGAATCTTGGCTAATACTTTTCTTTGTCAGGCATTTAAAAGGAAGTGGAATTAGTTAAGACCAAACAGAAATGGGAGAAGAGAAAGAAAATGCATTAGGGAAATGAAGTATCAACAAAAGTTGAGAAGACAATTTGGTAAGAGGGTTAAGGTCCACAGTGTCCCTTGTAATAGGAACCTTGTTTAAAATGAGAACTGAGCAATGCGATTATTTAATATGAGGACGGATATGCTGAATGAGTTACTCGACTTTTGTTTTGGTGAGAAGTGTCAAAAATAATGGTGAAAACCAAAGGCAAGGTAACACCTAAAAAATGAGTGAATAAAAGATAGTGGGAATAGGGACCAGCACTTGGTGCAATGACTATGTCACTGGACTCCCATGTAGTTGGCTGCAGTTCGAGTCCCAGACCCAGTGGTTTGAACTCACACCAGGGGGGTGTGCGTGTATGCCCAAGATCCCGAGAAGAGAATGGAGGAGAAGGGATTGCGGCGTGGCCATCCTGCCTGGGAGCGGTGGGGGGGAGAAAGGGGTTGATTTCTGGCTTTCTGTCTCTCTGTCTCTTTCCTTCTCTCTGGCGAGCGCATGCACCCTATAGCAAAAACCTCTTCAAGAAAAAAAAAAAGGCAGCGGGAATAAATGATCTTTTCAAAAAAACATGCTAGAGAAGGGGATGTCAGAGTGGTGTTAGCTTAAAGCATCATGAAATGGTTTGAGAGTATAAGTCTTAAGGAGATCTGAACTTACTTACAGAAAATAAAGAGCACATCAGAGAGGGTGTATATATAAAGATAAGATAGAAGAATATCTCTCTTTAACCAAGCAGAGTTAATGAGCTCTTTCATTTTTTACCATGACTGTACTGTACTTGCCTTTGCTCTTGCCAATTGCTGCACTAGACTTTAGTTATTTATTTACCTATTCATCTTTCTCACTAGTTTGTGAATTTCCTGAAAGGAGCACTGGGGTTTTTGTATAATTTTCTGTCTAATAGTAATACAGTGACTTACAGTTGGTCAGTGATTAAAAAATGTTGACAGTCCTGTACTGAAAGATGCAGTCGGAAGCCAACTGAACTGCTATGCTAGAAGCCACATAGCTAATTGTGGATTTGGCTCCAAAGGTTCATTGAAAACACACAGGGTATATGCATATGTGCCTAAGATCCTGAGAAGCTGGGGGAGGGAGAAAGGGAGGAGGAATCATGATGCGACAAGATTCTGTTGAGGGTGCTTTTCTCTTTCTCTTATGTGCACACATGTTCTCTGTTATGAATAAAATAAACTTTAAAAATTGTTGAACGAATAAGTGGCATGTTTAGGTATAAAGTGGATCCTAGAACGTGTTTGGTGTATGCTGAAAGACAAATCAGATTACAAGGACACAGTAAAATAGTAACTGATTGAAGAAAGAAAGATATAAACTTGGACAAAATGACACCGACAGAAAAGTTATGTTTCTCAGCCAACTTTTCTGTAGAGAAAAAGTTTAAGATAGATCAAAGGAAGTTAATGAATTTATCAACTGATCTTTTTAAAAAAAATTATTTAGCTTTATTAGTTATTATTATTATTTTTAATTTGACATGAGAGAGAGAGAAAGTGAGAAAGCAATATTCCAGGTCTAAGACTTGAACCTCAGTTGGCCATGTAGGAGTCCAGTGTCTTAACTCCTATATCACTTGTTGGCTCCTATTAACTAATCTTAACTCTTCCTTGTAAAGTAAGAGGTCTGGTCATCAGCTGACAGTAAAGGGGTTAAGAACGGTGTCCTAGATGTAGAGATTAGGAACTGCTGCTAAAAAATTTATAGGGAATTAGAGGCTTTTCTTTGGCAACGAAACATCATCTCTTTAAAAAAAAAAAAATACAGGCTATGGGGCCAGAGGTTGTATGGTGGTTAAGGCACTGGACTCCCACATATGCATGATATTCTTGCTGAAAAAAATAAATGTTGTATACCGTAAAGAAATTTGTGATTAAACCACATTGACTGTGTATGCTGGGTCCTGGACCTGGCAGTTAAAAAAAATCACACCAGGCGCAAATGAGTGTGTGGCCAAAATCCCAGGAGAATGGAGTAGAGAGGACTGGGGCATGGCCATCTCTCCCTGGAGGGTGGTGGCTTCTCACTTTCCCTTTCATTGTCTTGCTCTTTCTCCCTCCGATGAGCACACATGCCCTATGGCAAAAACCTTAAATTTTTTTAAATATATAGGCTGTTATTCTATATTATCATTATCATAATCTGTTGAAAAGATGAATGTTTGCACTAACTAGTAATGCCTATGTATACTCTTTGCTTTGCTTTTTGCTTCACTGCTTCTCCATTTACTCTCAATCCCTAAGCATATCCCTTACTTAGTAGAAGGAAAGTAGTAATTTCCACATCATTCTTTGGACCTGCAATGTAACCTTTTGTCTGAGATGCACACAGATGTATAGTACATGTAGGCAAACTGTAAATAATATTTTGCTTTTAATTTATGTCTTTATTCAGTTGTGTCAGTGGAGTAAAGCAGCTGGTGAACTATATTCTAAAGGGCAGAGTTGATATTTGAAAAATCCATGTAAAACATTTGATAAATGCTTAGTTGTAGGTTGGCATAAGTGCATGTTAGATCTTGAAAGCACAAAGTCAGTTACAATATTGAATGTAAGTTAAGAAAAACATCATTAAAATGCATGTGAAGTAAAGCACTTTATAGCTACTTTTTTATTATTATTA